TTTTTTAGAGTACTTTTTCCATGTTTTTTTTTTAGATTAATTTTTGAGTGGTTTTTTTAAGATTAATTTTTGAGTTGAATTTTTTTAGAGTAACTTCTCAGTGGTATTTTTTAGATTAATTTTTGAGTGGTGTTTTTTTAGAGTAATTTTTCAGTGGTGGTTTTTTAGATTAATTTTTCAGTGGTGTTTTTTTAGATTAATTTTTCAGTGGTGTTTTTTTAGAGTAATTTTTCAGTGGTGTTTTTTTAGAGTAATTTTTCAGTGGTGTTTTTTTAGAGTAATTTTTCAGTGGTGTTTTTTTAAATTAATTTTTGAGTGGTTTTTTTTAGATTAATTTTTCAGTGGTGTTTTTTTAGATTAATTTTTCAGTGATTTTTTTTTTTAGGTTAATTTTTGAATGGTAATTTTTTAGGTTAATTTTTCAGGTTAATTTTTCAGCGGTGTTTTTTCAGGTTAATTTTTTTCAGATTAAATCCCGATCTGTAAAAGTCAAATGCTACAAAATGGAACTGAGGTTTTTCCTCCGACTTTGCCCCGTGGCCTTTAGGAAATTATTTTATTTGACTGATTTTTCTACATGATAGAGTTATTTTGTTGGGTTTTTTTTAAAATTCTTCTGGCTCCAGAGGAGAAGAATCAGCTCCTTGAGCTGCCAGGCCTGGGTCTGCATGGTTGAGTTTCTCAAGATGGGATTAATTAATTAATTATTAATTATATGACCACGCTGTAGTGAAGGTGAGACCCCCTCCATACTTTAAAGGGGTTAAAAGATACAAACTTGAATTACACACCTCAGGAATTGCCTTTTTTTTTTTTTGGTGTATTCTCATTATTTACCTAAATAGAAGAAGGAAAACTTGTCTTTTTTTTTTCCCTGCCAGGTCTTTTGGGACTTTTCCCTCCCTTCCCGTGTTCCAGCCCCTCCTTGCACATCGTGGTGCTGCTTTCTTTGTCCAGCACACACAGAAATTCCCAACCCAACCCAAACTTGTCCAAGGTCTATTTTAGTCTCCTGGGTGACACCCAAACAGGTGTCAAATCCCTGGAGTCAGCAGAGCTGGGACAGGGGAACGGAGGGGACAACTGGGGCTCTAACAGGGAGTGACAGGACAAGGGGAATGGCTTCCAATGAGATTGGAGGAAGGAA